AAGTGTGGCCAGCAAGTTGAGGGAGGTGATTCTGCCCCTCTATTCCCTGTAGCCTGATTTTTTACACTGGCAGATACTGATAGGACAAGGGGGAACCATTTTAAATAAAAAGAGGATGGATTTAGATGTTAGGAAGAAGTTCCTTACTCAGAATGTGGTGGGGCACTGGAACAGTTTGCCCAAAGAAGCTGTGGATGCTTCATCCCTGGAAGTCTTCAAGGCCAGGTTGGATGGAGCTTTGAGCAATCTGATCTAGTGGTTGACATCTCTGCTTATGGCAAGTGAGTTGGAACTAGATGGTCTGTAAGATCCCTTTCAACTCAAACCATTCTATGGTTTTATTTATCTTGTATTGCTCTTCTGGTGATCTTCTGGTGTTTGTGAGAAGAAGAATGAAAACATACGCTGGAAGCAGACAAACTGAGGGACAGATGCTATGGAAACTTCCATATCACATTTCAACAAATTATTTCAGCCTAAATCTGAGCTCTTGTGGTTTAAGCTGGTACAATGATTATCAACCTTGTCACATGGCAATGAGTGTGTAATGAGGATAAAGTTTACCTAACTGTAGTACAAAGATGGAGCAATGAAATTAAGGAAAGTAAGTGAATAATCAAGGAAAGAGAAACTGATCATCTTTCTCCCAGCAAAGGACTGTTTTCTGAAATAATTTCAAGGGTTCAGCTGCCTTAGCTTTAAGTGTCAAAAGTAATGGAGCTTTCACAAACTTTTAGAGCACTACAGTTTTACTTTCAGATTTACTTGTGGTGAAAGGTGATGGCATAGCTAATCCACCAACGCTACCCAGTGCTGCGCACAGAGACTACCTCTGACATTGACCGGCCACTCTCATGCCTGTGCAGCCTTCTCCAAAAGTCTTTGATTTTACAGTCTTGAGGCAAAATCCTGACAAAGACACTCATTGTGAATACTACCTGAATTACCTAAATTATCTGTTTCGGTCATCTTGTCTCACCTAGGGAGTGGCATCTCTTTGTTTGACCCAGCTGAACAACATAACATTCAATGCAAATATTAGACCATCATTATCGGGCTTTAAACAAACAAGCAGGTTTAGTTTAGATCTTCCTAAATGTGTTGAAAGAGGCATGATGTAACTATGTGTGCAGACACAGGGAGGCTGCAGAGGGGCTGCTGCAGCACTGAACGTGTCCTAATGGTTAGCTTTAAGTGCTTCCTTTCCAGCGACTTACCCCTTCTCTCTCTGATACAGTAGGGGAAGCTGTGACAACTCACTTAGATGCCTTAAATAATGTCAACGGCAACAGAAACCTTTTTAGCTGTTCCAGTAGCTAATATAGGCTGTCCAGAGAGACTATTTGAAAGTGCCTCAGAGAGGACTTTCAGTTTGCTGCTGTGTTGCTAGGACTATGCTTGCCTCTTTGTAGCAGCTGACAATATTAGCAGGATTTGTATACAACCCCTGAGGTGAGGGAAAATCCATGAGAATTCCCACTGTCAAGGGCATGATTTCATAATACTTCTTATTGCCTAATATCTGTCAAATATCTTCAATTTTTTACATGCCTGGAATGCTACTCCTGCAAGTAACACATACTGTTTTGAGACTATGCAAGGATAGGGTAAGGTTACTGCTGGAAAGTTGCACAGTAGGTGCTGGTTAAATATGTTCATCAACTGGGTCCTGCTCAGAATAGTTTGAAGAATTAGAGTCTAGAAAAACATTATGTTTCAGAAGCTATTCTGAATAATTTATTGCCCCTCCACACAGAGCTGGCTACATGCACAAAGACAGTTTAATCGGAAGACTTGAAGTTAAACAAGCAAGGAAAAATGGTTCAAGGTGCCCCTTCTGAGCTGCAGAAAAAAACTTCTGGACAGAATGGAACAATCAATCATAGAATCATTTAGGTTGGAAAAGACCTTTAAGAACATCTAGTCCAACCATTTCCCTATTTGGGCAGAGCTGTGTTTGGGAATAAAATGCACCACTGATTACAGACTTCTGAGAAGGAGAAACAGGTTGTCAAATTTAGATTTTATGAGAAAGCCCAGGAAATATATGTGGAACTGTTCTAAGGGTGAAAACTCGGGGACTATGCTCAATTCATAAATTGAACAGAAGTATCATTTGTCTTATACCACTCAGAAGAGGCAGAAGCTGTATGCCTTTGGGAAAAAAAAAAAAAAAAAAAAGAAAGAGGATTTTTTAAATGGGCACTATTATATTAATTGTGTTCAGCAGAGTTCCTCCGCCTATTCCAGAGTTGGCAGCATACACAAGTTGTATTTTTTCCATCTTCCCTCTACTTGTTTACTGTTCCTTGTACTTGAAGATTTGTCTCTGCTTATTAACTAGAATGAAGCAAGAAGTTCAACAATTGAGGCCTAAATGCCTATAACAACAATGTGAGAAGACACTGGTTCTGCTTGTGGTGACTGCCTGCAAAGGCCAGTGCTCCTAGCTTGCAGAAGGAGAGAGCCTTTCCTCTTTTCTAGATCTAAAATAGAAGGCTTGTGATCAGTAACAAGTACATTTGGCTAGGAATGCCCCTGCAGGGTAGATCTTAATCACTATTTCACTGTGAACTCTGGTAACAAAGATTTAGCCAGCATCTGGGTCAGGGTGCTGTCTGTGATAGCCTGTAACTGTGTGGCCTACCTGTTTATTATAGGATTTTTAAGTCTAAGGTTTAGCAGTCGTGGTTGCTTTTGTCAACAGTTTTACCCCATGCTGTCTTTATTTATTTAATTTCTTTTCACTAGAAAGACATTCTTCCCCAGCCCCATTTCTAAATATTAGAAGTAAATAATTTGACAATGACATACCTTTGCTTCAACCAGAGTCATGGAATCATAGAATCACAGAGTCATAGACTCAGATGGGTTGGAAAGGACCTCTGAGATCATCAAGTCCAACCCTTGATCCACTACCACCACAGCTACTGGACTATGGCACTAAGTGCCACATCCAGTCTCTTCTTAAATACCTCCAGGGACGGAGAATCTGCCACCTCTCTGGGCAGCCCATTCCAATGCCTGAATAAAGAAGTTTTTAGTCTAAATAATAAGGCATGACTGCTGCTAAAATTTGAGAGACAACATAATTCCCCCCCCCCCCCTTTTTTTTTCCTTTAAATTTTTGGAGGCTTTTTTAGAATGATTCATAATTATTTACAAAAAAAAAAAAAATCAAAAGCAGGACTGCATCACTGCATCTGTACAGTTTTTGAAATGTTTTGACATGTTTGTCAAGATTTAGTAGGAAATTTCACATGCTTGTCTGGCAATTTATAATCCGTTATTTTACACTACAAGCTGCATCCTTGAGTTTATTTTATGGCATAGAAATAAAGTAAACTAAATGACAACATCTTCTGGCCTCTCCCTTTTATCTATGGAAATGACCTTCAGTAAAGAGAATCTAAGGGATGTCGTGCACCCATTTTGAAATACATTATTTATATTAATGTGGAAGTTTCTGAGTAAATGAGGAAGCAAAGCTTGGCTTAGAATAGAGTAACAATGCAATTATTTAATAAACCATGTATCTCGAGAATCTGTCAGGGTCAGTATTGCATCAAAAGGTGTATTGTTTTGGAACCATCTTTGGGCCTTGGTCTTCTAATATCTGCTGAGAAAAATTTCTAAAAATCTGGCTTTTTTCTTTGTAAGCTGATGGATTTCCACATTTAAGTCGGGATCTGTATGAAATACAGCACAGAGCTCCCATTCAGTTAAGGGCAGAATTAGTCACCCCAAACTGGAGATTGATTAGTACTAAAGGAGAGAATTAATTAAGTATTGTATACCATAGTTTTGATGTAAATGCAGTCATTATAGTCCAAATTCTACTTCCTTTCATTTAATCAGAAACCAATGAAACAACTCTATGTTATAAGCACTAGAAGTAAAAGGAGGACTGCAGACAGAGAAGAACAAAGCACACTGGGTAAAAGACTAGGACTACAGCCTTATTTTCAAGGCATAGAGCAGATTTACATCGAAAATAATTTTTAAAAGCTGGAGGAAGGAGAAGAGAGAGGAAGGAAACGTATGTCTGACCTGCAGTTTAAGATTAATTTGTGCTGCAAGGTCAGGAACATTGGAATTCTAAGGATTCGTTTTGCCCACTTTTTGAAGTCACTTCATATTTTTCTACTAGAGCTGAACTCTCCAATGATAAACATGTTTAGCTCCAGTCATTTGGTTTGTCACCAGCTGGGAGCAGGGGAAAAGCCATGCTTATTTTGCAGAGTAGTGAGAACTCAGTTGGAAAGCTTCTGTTACTCCAGTTCCAAGAAACACAGTTAATAAACTCAACTATTTTTTTTTTCTGAAAATGTTATATATAGTTGGATGATTCTTATTACACAGGGTTTTTAATTTTGTCCTAAATGTTCTGTTTTCATTTTGGTCTATAGAGCATCATGATGTTTAACAGAACAGATACAAAATATCCCCTGGTTTTTTTATTAAACACCAGGTTTTCACTTGCCCTCACATTGTTTTAATGAAATAATAGTACAGAAAACAGTTACTTAGTGGAAAGAGTGTTGTGAGTTAGGTGGTGCAGTGCGACAGTGCTACAGCACCAACAAAGTAAAGAAGCCCATTTTTCAGCATGAAGAAATATACTCTGCTCTCAGGATAAACCTGGCCTCTACCCCTTTGGAACAGTCCTTCAGGTCAGGGAATGTATACTGTACATGGTATGATATATGATCTTGTATGAATGGAGGAAATTGAGCCAACGTTCCAATTTTAAAAAGCAAGGGAAACCAGAAAACCAAAGTTTGAAGTTCAGGCTAATAGAAGTGTGGTCAATCTGAGGTAAGATTTGTCTAATGTAAAGACCTAGTATACTTTTACTGTAGGTTTATGTTCTTAGTTTTTTAAGTCATGTTAATTAGCATTCTATAACAATTTGAACAATTCTTTTTCCTCCTGTAACCAACCTTAAATGACAGCACTTAATTAAAACACACTTAAAACAAAAGAGTAGCTTGTATTACCTCCAGCTCCATGTGCTTTTCTTCCTTGTTATGATCCTTCAATGCCTTTTCAGAATGATCATCACAGTCTTCTGAATGACAGATGTGTTGATACTTAATAAGTTCATGTTTACCCCACTTTCTTTGAGAAACTTTCCTTCTGTGAAGACCATTGGAAAATGTCTCATACAGTGGCAGTTCTCTAAACATATCATCATCACGTCTACCATCTGCTTCTTCCTCTTCTGATGAAAACTCATCTGCTTCTCCTGCCTCACAAATATGGAGCTTAGTGTTAGCTTCATGTGATAAAAATTGGAAATCAGAAAATGTGATAGCACTTGGTTTATGTTTTATGACTCTGATCTCATGACTCCTTTTTGATTTCTTGTCTAAATTATTTCCTGTGTGCAAGGAAAGGTTTAAAGGATCTTCCTGTAGCAGGTGCCTTGCAGAACAGGATAATTCTTCACAAAGGTGCTTTGTCTCAGACTGGTTGGTGGCACTGACATGCCCTGCAGCCATACCAAGTTGCAAGGATGTCTCATTGTGGTCTAATAAGGATGACACAGACAGCAAACTCAGCCCAGGTTCCCGTAAAACATTCTGAAATTCATATGGACTTGCCTGATTTTCTATCTTTCTTTGGTAATCTTCATACTTAGCTTCCTTTGGAGTCCCGAGGCACTTGGCAGATTTAAGATAAGGTGAGTCCTGTTCTTCTTCATAGATGTTGGTTTCCATTCCAGTGGGTTTCATCCATCAGAGATCAAATTACTTAATTCTTGTTTTTCTTAAGAAACATAACTCTGCATATATAGCCAGGAAATATCTTCTTAGTTTTCCAAAACCATGATCACACAATTTTTATTAATGCCTGGATTCTCATACAAAACATCTGAATCCTCTCAGCTCCTGGGGGAAAAGGAAAAAATTGATGGAAACATACTTGCAGTGGACTGCATCAGCAAAAGTAATCCTGAAACATGAAATTCCCATATCAAATTTACTTCAGATTTACTTGTATTGCTGCAAAAATATTTGATGTATGCAGATTAAGTGAACTGAAAACCTGAGAACCTTGACTTATTTACCTTAGAGGCTAGGAAAGAAATGTCAAATGCAGAAATGTTTTTTAAATATTGACTTTACGTTGATTAGTGACTCAATGGTTCAGAATCATTCAAAATGATGTTAGGTATATTCTTGTTACCTAAACATGCCTCTGTTCACTATCTTTTCATTGTCTGTTAATTCACTGAAAATTTTACATTGTTCTGGTAAAGCTACTAAAATGTCATAGGGAAGAGCAAGGAACAGAACATAGGGAAATGTCATCACTAAAAACAACTGACAGAAAAAAAAGATTTCAGTATAGGTAGAATTTTTTATCTCTCGACTTCAATGAATTGACAATGCAGTGCAGCCCCTGTCTATTTCCAATAGATCTGAAAAGCAAAAAGAGGAGGCTAAAAATAACAGAGAGCTTCACTGCTACATCGGAGTTGGGCATGTCTGCTTTAAATCAGTCTTAATATCCGTGCTCACATCCAGGCTGTGCACCTCCAACGCATTGGAAGAAGGGAGGAGCTGAAGAACTGAGCTTGCATCACTGAATAACTTACGTTCCCCCATACATGTAATTTATTTCTTGTGACAGGTTGAATATTGATAGTATTTATTTTAATGATTGTTTTAGTACTCCATCTGTGAGAGAGCAAAGCAGAACAGAAGCTTTTCAAAATAAAAAGAGAAGATTAAGCCTTTGATGTATATGGCAAACCTGTCAGTGATGAGGAAGATGTGTCAGAAGGCAGCACTGTGACTGTCAAAATGGAAAGCAAGCAAAGTAAGATGCTGTCATGTGACATGCCTGTCACTGCATGTGCCATAAACTGAGCAAAGCACTCCAGCTAGTCGTATTTTAGTGCTGGTTAGTGTAGACTTTAGTGTTACGGACACACATTTGGTAATAGAAAGAATACTGTTGGATTTATTGTATTACCTTTGTCATTTGGACTACAGCTGTAATAGGTGTGAGCATGCAGGTATATAGACCTCCTGTTTCTGTAGACATCCTCTCAGTTCTTGCTAGCCTTTTAAAAGTCAGATGTTACTGTAAGTGGCCTAACCTCCTGCTGGAGTCAATGGAGGGGGAAAAATGCTGCTAGAAGGTAAATGCTCCCACTTATCTTGGTTACTTATTTGGACATGAGATGAGTCTCCCTTTTGGCCTAACTGCCTTACCCAAAACTATGGCTGATGTCTAGACAAAAAACTTACACTAGTTATCTGACCTTTAGAGGGACAAATAAAGACAAGAAGATGGCCCATATCTTTGGCACACAATATTAATAGGTGATGTGTCTATGTGTAAATGAGAAACCTGATTTTCTCAGATGATTCAACTTAGCCATTTACATAGAAGTGACTTCACTTTCAGAAGGGCAGAACACCCTTGGTTCTCCCTCAGTTACTAGGAAAACTAATTGAACAGAGTGTCTTTGTAAAAGAAAACACATTCCCACATTTAGACGGAATTATTTGAATAACTTAACATTTCACATAATGTTTTGTTCAATGTGGGCACAGTGAAAAAGCCTCCTGCCATTCCAGGTGCTTCACTATGAGCCATCAACTTCACTTTTGAGTCTCTGACACCCAGTACCCTGCAAGAAGGCATACAGCTAGCACCCACACTCCCAGCACACAAAGCCAACCGTAACTGGAAAAGATTTGCCAATTCTAGCAGGCTCCCCAAAAGGATAAACTTTTGTGTATTGTGCTCTATTGGCTTGATTCCCCTTTGCCAGGACAACCAAGATTTGTACTAAAACTCATGAAGTTTTGCATAAAGATCACACAAAAAGCACATATTCATCTTAATCATTAAACAGGAGGATTTTACAGAGACAATTATAATCATAGACTCATTTCTATTTTCTTCAGTCAATACAAGAATAATTGTTCTCTGGGATAAATTATTAAGATTTATTTCACAGTATTACTCTAACAGCAAGTCACCTAAACCAGCGTTTCAAATGTGGCTTAAGTTAGTGCATTTCAATACCCATTATGTATTTTGGCATTACAGAGCACATGAATGTGTGGAATTTTGTTAGTTTAAATTCAATTTAAACTTGAACTGACATAGTAAACCAGCAAATCAAGTCCTGATCCTGGCTGGAACAGTACACCACTCATCCAAAATAAAGAGTTTTTACCCCTTAGCCCCTAATGCATTTGTTTCCCTTTCACAATGACTTTGCTTAGTATTTCCCATTGACTTAAAGAATCTTCCCCTGAAAAACTAAGCAAACAAGCCAACAGAATGTGAGATACATAAACTAAGAGCAAATTGGGAGATTAAGAGTTTATTCCTTGATGATAGTATTACCTGTTTTGCAAGGTAACCCCATATTTTTCAATTCAGTTACTTTCCATAAGCGTAACAACAGGAAGCCAGTGAGTAGCCAAAAGATCCTCCAAGCATTGGGGCAGAACAGAAAAAGAAGTGAGCAGATTCTTAACAAAAGACATTTCAGCTTGCTTGCTGCAGAAGAACTCTGTCAAGAGAAGTATGTGTGAGAATCCCTGGGGCGAAAACAGCCTTCTGCAAGCATTGGCCAAATTATTCACACAAAAAGACAGAAAAAAAAAAAAAGAAAGGGAAGGAAAAAAATAAAAGAGAGAGTAAGAGCATGCTTCACAGGAACACCAGGCACTTCTAAAAATACAGCGTGACCTCATTCCTCACATCATGCCAGACCTTAACATTGTGCTTTGCTTTATCACCTGGAGCACCTGGAGTCAGGTTCCCACTGCTCGAGTTGGGATGCTGTCAGGTTCTGAAAAGGTAGGCTGTGAAATGCCTTTTGATATAAAGCCAGTGTAAAGGAGTACCAAAATTAGCTTTCCATGTCACTTGCAAATTCTAATTATTGTTTGCCTATGTTTCTTCAAGACCTACATTTGCTGCCAAAGCTTTACAAGTCTTCTCTTTTATATATATTAATAGAATCATAGCTTGCAGACAGACTTTTGCATACTCTGCAAAGTGTAGCTGCAGTGCAAGTTACTGGGCACGTGAGTTTCTGAGTGTGATTATAAATCGGTTATTTGCAAATCTAGCCTGGAAAGGAAAAAGATGTATTGTCACTAGAAATACAGGGTGAGAAATCTTTGAGTTATAGTTTAATTTTGGAAGTGTTTTTCTATATTGCTTTTGATTAGAGCAAACAGTGAAAATGGAAAAGCTGCAATGCCCTTCTGCTCATGTATTCATGTGCTCATGCTTGTAGCCGTAGATTACATTTTTCACCTTGAGATATCCAGGCACAGATACTTGGCACAGATGCTGCCAAATCTATGTCCCTCCTGACTCATTTCAGTCAGTGAAGGAGGCGGCGCTTGGATGCTGATTTCTCTTACACCCTGTGCACCTGACTGCCTTCACTGAAGTTAGGCAGTATTTTATTCAGCAAAGAACTTGGCATATTTATGAATGAGTCAACCAGCAAATAAAGCCGCATCTTGAGGCAACCATTTTTCAGGAATTACTTTATAGGACAGTTTAGTGAGGCTTGTCTCAACTTAGATATGTTTATTATCCTAGGACAGCTGCACTACTAGGCCTGTCCTTTAGCTTTGCCATCACTGTCCCCACCTCCACTGTGGCAGAAGCTTATTTTACTTTGCCAAGGCAAGTAAAACATCTTTTCAAATTCAATAAACCACAATGATAAAGAGACACTTTGTTAATTTAATTGTGCTTACATACACGCTTGTCTTAGGTGCAACTGTTAGTCACAGATGTGCTGTTTTCCAAGCACCCTCTTAACGAATGCAGCAATGCCAGCAATTTATTTATAGCTGGACCTACTTCCAGTATATAGGAGGACAGACTGCTCCAAGAGGAATCACTGACAAATTTCACACTATAAAATGAGCCTTAGGCTGAATTTAATCCAAACATGCTGCCAGTATGCTGACTCAATTGCATTTTGATCTAAACCAGCATTTTCAACAAGACTGTCATTATCACCTCACCACCATGTGGGAACAGTAGTTTAATTGCAAATAAGGTGAGAAAATACCCTCTGTAATACATCTATTGCTCTTTTTAAGACCCTAGATCTGTAGGCAATATTTAGTTTTAGTTTACGGAAGTGGACCTTGACTTTGCAAATCTTTGTTCTCTGTCCGTCCCATGAATAGCATGGTTGCAACACTGAGCAAAACCAAATGGCAAGAACGTGTGAGCAGCAGGACAGTGAGGGACTAGACATGATTCTTCACACTTGGAAAAGTCTCATGCTTCTTGCACATGTGGTTACATCCTCTCAAAAGAAGATATTTAAAAGGAGTCAGGTATGAATGGGTAACTGAGGGCATATGTCTTTCAGCATGTCCCTGAGAACATTAATGAAGTATCTTCATAGAATAAGATCTTTCCTTCTACCAGTAGACATCTTCTAGCATTGCGTTCAATGTGTTGTTTTTGTATTGCCTGTTCTGCCTCTTTTTTGTCTAACATGTATGAAAAGTATCATCAAGCTCCAGATGAGATATTGGCCAGAGGTTGTTTGACTATGTGCATTTCAAGGCAGTTTTGAGTGATTTGAGAAGAGCAGCCATTCATATACAGACACTATTCATAAACACAGGCCCCAAAATGAACCGACACCTAATAAATATTTTTAATATAACACTGGATAAACCATATAGGAAAAAAAAAAATCTGTGTCTCTTTAGGTTGAGGATCTTGACATTGGTAAGATCCCAGATCTTTATCTAGGCTGTCAGTCCAAACCAAAGCCAGAAAGCAGCCTTTCTGCAAGCAAAGACATACAGGTATGAGCTGATTCTCCCTTCAGTTTAAATACTACTAGTTTCTTCAGCCTGTAAGGTGAATT